AGACACAATCGTTACTTCAATCCCGAGGAATAGATTGAAATGAATTATTGGAGGATAAAACAGAAACAGAGCCAAATATTGGATTAAGTGAAATAGTGAAGATTCCTTTAAAGGTATGGATTTGTGTCTCCACCTTTAGTCAACAATGTCTCCTTATCTCAAATCCTTATTATTTTATATTAAGAACAAGTGGCTGTGGATTACAAAAGGAATTCTAAGACAAAGAAATGCGATGCTTAGCAGAGATCTAGAAATGCACTATTGGATAAAAGCACGGTTATCACGGTTATCCACCTCTACAGTATGCCTAACAATGTACATAAGCTGGGTCGTCATCCAACTGTTCATTAAGGACCAAAGATTACGAGTAGTTTGGTTAACAAGCGCCAGTCCTTTACCACAATGTTGGAAGAATAGAATGGATGATTCATCACTAATGCATTCAAAATTTTTCGGTCCAGTTCACATTAGCAATTTTATTTTCACGACAGCTCAAGAAAATTTATTGATTCTGACCCTATGAAAAATTGTGTTATCCTTGATGGGGTAATGGCTTTTTCAGCTGCTCGTTTTTTTCAAATTCACGCTGCTTCTGATACGTGACGTTTCAGATTCACCAGTTATAATGTTTGGTTTCTTTGCAATGCTTACCAATTCACTTGAACTCATACTACTTGACTGTATTCTTGATGAGGATTTCATATCAGTGTCATCACTCGTTCGATATTTATTATGATGTCTTCGCATCCTGCCTGCATCATTTCTTCGCGCAATGCATGAGCTTGATTGTTGCGTAGAAGATGTACGCAACAGCGATACTAAAATTACTTCTCTTTAAAATTCCTATTCCCAACTGAGAGATTCAACAAGAATGCGTCCTTACAAGAGGTAAAGTTAGCAATGTATCCCATGGCAGGCATGACGTGTAATGATAACATTGATATGAACGAAGTGAACGCTTGCAAATGATTATCATTCTCGGATTACATTGTCCAATTTTTTAACTTATTGATTGAACCATTTATTAAATCAACTTTAACTAAAGAAAGTGGTATTTTGGAGTGATGAACACTAACAAATCATGTCAATCAACAGCAATACTTGGCTATATAAAGAAAATGAAAAAAAAACAACCGATATGTATGCAATTTACACATTATTCCAAAATTTTATTCTGGTTTTAATACGTATTGTCCTAAACGTTTAGCCTTTTTGGTAAAAGGTTTTAAGGAATCCTGAAGATGCAAATCTAGAATTATTATACTTCACGGAAATTGCTGCTTTTTAATTCCTTATTTGTCATAATATTTCAATAATTCAATGGGTGACTGATATCGAAATTAGCCAATTACTTCATTTATTTTCGACTTTTTGTTTTAATCCATGAGTTATCGGTCAGTATAGATACTGCAAACTATGACGGAGTCGTGGATGACTTTGATGACAATAACTTGTGCACGCATGGATTTTTGATGTATTCTTAACATTGATTCAAATCACAATCTATTTAATAGCTCATATGGAACAGAACGCCAAACAAAGTTTTGCGTGATTTTTAAAATTTAATGTCTGCGCAATAATACAAAGGCATTTGGAGGAAATAAAAAATTATCCATAATAATAATAGTAATAGGGGAGGTAACCGTAATAAGGAGGGTAACCAAAGTATGGATAATAATAACCATATGGAGGAGAATATGGAAAGCCTCTGCCATATATCGATCCCAGAAGGAAACCCGCAAGAATAGTTTGAAATGCATTTAACCCTTGGCCAGAGGGAGCTTGAGAAGGTTGACTAGGTTGACTTATGCGTCGATCACTTCCACCAGAAATGACTCTCTGTATTGCGATACCGTTGTTGGCCACTAACTTAAATTTTTAATAAACTCTTACAGAAAAAAAAATCTATTCAACAAAAGTAGATAAATGCACTGAAAATTAATGCTTAAATGAACTTAAAAATGAACACTAATGCCTAAATATATTAATATAATATGTGACGCTCAACAACCTTAGCTTATTTGACGCAAATAAGAGGTATGAAACTTACGTTCCCGTCTGGGTCCATCTGTGCATCCGTTTCAGTAACTGATAATACTGCACTGAAAGTGAAGAAATAGATTAGCAGATATGTATACTAAATGAATGATGTGATAACAGCAAATAATTTAGCTTACATTATCGTTAAAGGAACCAAATATTTGGTGGTAACGAGCGGCAGCATAATAAACAATCCAAAATACCTGCAATATGATCAGCAGTGTACAATTGGTACAATTAGAATAAGGGTTACGGCTCCGCCGCGTTGCATTTAAAGGAAATATTTGTAGTTGTTAGAAGATAAATTCGCCCAACTGATGGTCCAAATGGCATGAGTAAACCTGAATGTCACTTGTTCCTGTCACAATTACAAATGACCGCAAGTCATCAGACTAGTTAAGTGGGAAGGGCATTCAGCTTCCAGAGGAGGGCGACGTTGCCAACCTAGCTATTATCGATTTAAAAAGTTCGTTGGAGAGGATTAGAAAGTAGGTGAAATAAATAATCGTAAATGATATTATTTTACAAATCATTTGCAACACCGAGAAGAGACGTTACGACAGATATATATTAAAGTTCGACTTTTGTTTTCCGGAACGAGTTAAGATAAGGGGTGGGAGGAAAATAGAAACTTTCTAAAAAACTTGCCGAATATTTTGAAGCCCAACTGTTCAACGTATTTTACGTCTTCTCGATGATGACGCACATTTGATGCGAAGGAAGAAATAAAGAGATTGAAGTAAACAATTTCTTAAAAACTAACGATTTCTTTCGAAAACAAGTGCAACAAAGTCACAGTTTTGGTAAACTGCACGTGATTAAAAATTAACACGATCAACACATGAGTGATTATTGAAGAGGTTTGAATTTTCTTGTGTTTAACATTTAGGAGAAAAGTGGAATATAGGTATTTCGCGCTATTAATCAAAATGAAATTAACGCGTTAGCAAGAACTAAAAACTGAAAGCAGTTAGATTTATATCTTGGCTGAGTCATTGCCGTTAGCAAAGAAAAATGATGAATGAAGTAAACGAAAAACGAATTACTACTTATCTCCAAAAGGGATGTGAAAAAGTGAAATGTGTTGATAACCGAAATAATTTCAACCATTGCTCAGGAAATAAACAGTAAGTAAGAATAGATGAATGAAATTTTGTCATATGTCAATGATATGTGAATTGCGCATATTCATTTCAGCCAAAAATATATAATTCCTGTGTGCAGTGTTATTTGCAGTTGGCATAACATTCGTGACTGATTCAATCATCATCAACTTCAGTTCATTCTTATTCCGACTGTGGGCTGAAAAAAATAAGGACAGAGAAACAACAATCGTCAGCTCCTGCCACAATACAGTTACTTGTATGTCATATTTCGATGGAAGTTTCCGTGAAATAAGATTGTGCAACTTTTTCTTTTCAGTTCGTTCTTTCTTTCCAATTTTTGTAGAACTTGAAACACGTTTCCTTTTCCTTTCTGCAGTTATTTATCTGCGAACAAGCACTGTTCATGCAATTAGTACACTCCTCTAAATCGCACATCTAATGATCCTTTATCATTTATTGATTGAAAATTAATTAAATCAATTTAACTTATAGAAAGTGGTATTTTAAAAAAAAAAACAATGATATTTTAGAAAAACCATGACAAATATTGCCAAACGGAATATGAACAATAACACCTTAGCTACATAAAGAGAAAATAGCCGTTTATAATAATTGTGCATTTCCGAAGTTTTATTTCCAAAGCTTAAAACTCTTTTAACATGCACAGTCCTACAGATTTAGCTTGGTACCAAATCTAAAGGAATTCTGAAAATGCGAATTGATGAAGAAAACCGTCGCTATTTTAAGTATTTAATTATTGTTATTATCAGGTAATATTTTAAGATATCAGTTATGAGAGACATTGTTAATGCTGGATAGGTACACTATCGATTAAGGTGGGATTCATTTGCAGTGCTAAATTCTACGATCAGTGTTGTTTGGAAGAATTTTCAAGAACACAATAATGATTGATTGTACCATTTCAATTATCAATAACCGGCACTGCGAATTCTTCAATAAAACAATGAGCGACATGTCATTATATATTACAAGGAAATGCATGGGATAATAATTTTAATGATATATTAAGCATGAAATTTGTAGATGAATTATTATTGTTGAAGAAGATAATAGAGATCGATAATTTGATCTTTCAGTTTTTAACACTCGGAAAATGGTCTGGAGTTGTAGTGATATCCATAATAGGCTAACTGATATTCTTTGCCATCCTTATCAGAACAGATTCATTCGTTGTTAGTTAAGAGTTACGTGATCCTAGCTACCTTTCAAACCTCCATAAGCAGTGCTGTATTCTACAACTCTGAAATACTCCGTAAAATGGAATAAACTAGCCAGAAGTTGTTGGCTTTGATTACTTATCATGAGTAAGCCTTTTTTGTTGGTTCATATGAGATTTCCTTTTTTTTGATGATTGTTGCTTCATATGGACCAGAATATTTTATTCTTGACTAAATGCACGAGTACTGAGAGAGAACTGAAAATCGAACAATAATGGTCGAATTCCAGATCCATTTTGCCACTGTAAATGTCATCAACTTCCAAGAAGTATTTCTTTTTCGCATTGAATTAGTCATTAAATTTTCTGCATCATGAATTACCGAATTTGTTCGAAATAGAGGAAGAATGTTTGTTTATTTAACACTTTCTTAATTTTAACTAACGCAGCAGCTTAGTTTTTTTTGGCTCATATTTTGAAAAGCAAGTGGATTTCTTGAAGAAGATTTGAAATGCAGAAATGACCGGTTTTTTCCACCACATAATAAAAGATATGACCGGAGTGAATAGAAATTGAATAGTACTAATGCAAAGTAGTAATGATGAATGAAAAATGTTGAAGGAATGGCACTGTTGAGAAAGCGATTACATATGAAGATTTGAAAGATATGAGGGAAAGTGAAAGGTTGGTGGGAAGTTGCTTCAAATATTTCCTCAACTGATTCCAAATTTTCTCTTTTTCTTGAACTTCATAAACTTCATAAACTTCTGAATAAACTATAGACTAATAGTCATTAATGAGTGAAATATGTGACAAAAAGTCAGTCTTTTATTCACCAATAAAAGTGCGCAGTTATGACCTATCTATCTCGGAAAATCGTGGAGTTGGGTCATATTTAGTTTAATATATTTAAGTGATGATTGGTTGCACTAAAATGGCGAAGTTGAGGGAAATGCAGCCAACTTTTGATAAAGTTTGCAAGTTAATTTGCAAAAATATGTTTTTTTTTCGGATGCAAAAATATGTTGTTCTCATTTTTGTATTTTGAGGCTTTTCTGCTTATCCATTGTTGTACAACTTGTTCAAAAACTTGGAACCAATCACTCATTCTATCTTCATCGCCAAAATTTTCGTATCCTTTCCAAAAATTTTCGAAACGGAATTGCACTATACGTTTTGTAATCAGTTTCCATCTGGAAATACCTTGTTTATATTGCAAGTCGTTTGTTAGTATTGGTTCATTAAAATGAAGATGAAGCAGATAATTCTACTTCTGTGCTTAATTAATTAAAAGTTTCTCAAATTTCTAATTATTTAATTTATTTTTCTTTGTTATGGCAATTGCTGTGATCTTTAAAAATTTCAAATTATTCTGAAGTTCTAAAAAATGAAACATCCTGATATTGCGGACTAGAAAGATTGATTAATGCTATGGTAAAAATAACAAAAGTATGATGGTCGCCTAATGGTTTGAACGGGAAATTATGCAGAAACAATTTAAGTCGTTTACAGTTCTTGGCCAAAGCTATAAGATTATCACTTCCATTATCAGTGTTTTGTCTCATTGGCAAACGTATTTGCAAAATTATCTCATTGCCTAACAATGGAATGTATAACAATATGTCAGTATCTTTTGCCTTAACGTCTTAACGTATGAGATTCAATAATTAAAACATGACTAAATTAACAGGTATATGAAGACCGAAACAAATGCAAAATAGATTTGCTTCAGACCATTAGATTTCAGGAATTTGAAAGACCGAAACAATTTGAAGGATTTAGTTTTGATTCAATGACGAATTATTCAGAAATCACTATTTTGGTTCTCGAACAAATGTGACTCATATTTCTGGCGCATTAAATAGGTTCCCAGAATCCTAAAAACAGGCTTTTGCTTTCTGGAAGGGTACATAAGCATATTCTGCAACCATTTGTGAGCGTTCATGCACGGCCACTGAAGTTTCTCCTTACAATGACGTCGCACATTTGATGCGAATTAATAATTGTTGAAGGGGTTCAAATTTTCAGCATGTTCCCTATTCTAATTATCATTCAATTTGAAATAAAATTCTTCTCTTTTAAGTTAATTTTGTTTTTCTACACACAGACACCTTCGCATTCAGTTCATTCTTCTTCGTTCCAACGACCCATTCCCTAACTTATTGATTGAACCATTTATTAAATCAACTTTAACTAAAGAAAGTGGTATTTTGGAGTGATGAACACTAACAAATCATGTCAATCAACAGCAACACTTGGCTATATAAAGAAAATGAAAAAAAAAAACAACCGATATGTATGCAATTTACACATCGTTCCAAAATTTTATTCTGGTTTTAATACGTACTGTCCTATACGTTTAGCCTTTTTAGTAAAAAAGTTTGAAGCAATTCTGAAGATGCGAGTTTAGAATTATTATACTTCAGAAACTTGTTGCTCCTTAATTCCTTATTCAGTACAACATTTCAATAATTCAACGAGTGGTTGATATCGAAATTAACTAATTATTACTCTATTCATTTGTTCTTTTCAATCCATGAGTTGTCGATCACTATAGGTACTATAAATTATGATGGAGTCGTAGATGACTTTGACAACTTGTATTGCGCAGGTTTTTGATATATTTTTAACATTGATTTAATTTACAATCTATTTAATAGATTCATGTAGAACAAAACACCAAACAAAGCTTTGCACAATTTTAAAGTTTAAAGTCTGCACGATGATATAAAGGCATTTGAAGAAAGTGAAAAATTATCC